CTTCACCTGCCACTGCCGGTCCAGGAGAAAAATCATCTTAATGCCCCTTTCCACAAGAGTAAGAGGATGGCTTAATGAATGCTCTCCTCGCTTGGTTTTGGTCATTAAACGTGCTCTGCCGTTGTGGGCTCTTTATGGCTTTGCACTAAGTGGTGAAATCCTTATGTGAGACTTGGCAGAGGCTTTTAGGTGTCATTAGGGATCATTAATATGCAGAGCAGTGCCACGCCATGGAGGCTGCTGGGGTAGGGAATGAGATCCATCATCTGTTGTTAGAGCTGCAGGATAACTTCAGGGTCAGCAGGAATCAGGCACAGGGGCTGGACTTGGGCAAGGATTCCTCGCTCGCACGTGGAGAGTGTGTGTGGGTGGGATGGATAGGGAGGGGTGAGGCAGCTTTGGGGTTCCTCCCATCCTCATCCTGCGCTGTCAGTTTGGATCTTTTGGACCCTGTAGCTGTTGCAGTCACTCCAGTGACGACTCAGTGCAGAGAGACTATGCCCAAACTCGATAGCTTGGACTGCATTTGTATAAATTGAGAGTCTTTTCCTGGTTTTGGTTGGTTGTTTGCCACCAGGGACTCATTTCTACACCCACCACGCCACCGGGGCAGGTGGTTGCAGGGGGGAGTGCCTACACCTGTTTGTGGTAGCACAGATTTTTGGGGTGATTTTGGTGCCTTTGTGGGCAGCAGCATGGGCTGCCTGGGGGGTGCTTGTGGTGGAAGTCTGCTCCCCCTTTACCTGTGGGTATAGGATGTCTTCCCAGTAGCCATCAAGAGCTTTTTCTGCTTTCCTTGCTCTGAAAGGCCTGGGAGTATCAGAAGCAGGGGTGGCAGGGAGTAGGAATGTTTCATGTGATCTCTCGTGGCTCAGCAAGGAAGGGAGACCAGCTGAGCAATGAATTATGTATCTCCTCTTTAAATAAAGAGCATTTCCACGCCTTGGAAAGTTCAAAAGATTGTTCTGCCGTGCTGGTTTCTGATACTGGACAAGCTGGAAATGTTAGTGGGTATGTTAATGTTGCTCCTGGCCCTCGCAGCGTTCACTTCTGAAAAATAGAAATGTTTTTAGCGTGTGCTTGGCCTGGGAGCTTTGATTTGAAATGAATACTGTCAGCTGTGTTAAAAAGATGATAAATTACGCTGAAGAACATGTTTTGGTTTCCAGCAGCAGCAGCAGCAGCGCTGGGGTTGTGCCACAGCTACAGGAAAGGCAGAGCCATTGACAGTGCGGGTGTTGGCCCCTCCTGGCTCTCACCATGGCACTGCTGGGCCACCTGGGCTGGTGGAAGGGGTTTTAAGGTCCCTTCCAACCCAAACCAGCCTGTGATTCCAGGCTTGTCCCGTGGTTGCTCTTGGCTGGGGGGAGTTAAACCAGCTCCCCAGGCTCAGGATCACGGAATCACAGGATCACTGAGGTTGGAAAAGCCCTCCCAGCCCATGGATCCCCCCTGTGCCCGATGCCCACCTTGTCCCCCAGCCCAGGGCACTGAGTGCCACCTCCAGTCCTTCCTTGGACACCTGCAGGGGTGGGGACTCCAAATCTCCCTGAGCAGCCCTGACCACCCTTTTCCATGAAGGAAATTCCTCCTGATGCCTTGGGGACTCCTGCTTTTTGGGATAACTTCTCCTATTGCTGGCAGCTTTACATGCTCATTAAAAGCAGTGGGGATTCGTGGGTAAAAGGGAGGGTAGAAAATGTAACCCAGAGTTAAGCCCTAATGTGTTTGTAGATGAGAACCAACTTGACGTGTTTTTGTGTTTGAGATTTATGATCTAATCATTCCTTTCCCCCTGCACAGCAGGGACTGGAGCAGCGTGGAGTTATTTACATATAGGGAACATTAAACAGCCACCTCTTTAAACCATATGTGAACATAAAATCCAACAACCACTGCTGAGTAATGAGTCTCTGTGAAAGATGAGAATAAAAATAAAGCAGGAACAAGCAGAATGGAAAGGTATTACTGCAAGAAGTAGCTGTGACAGCAGCACGTTGCATCCCTGTGGCAGGGTGAGAACGTGACCCTGGGGATGTGTCCTCCTGAGTTCACACTGTGCACCCTGAACACGAGCACCAGGTTTGCCCTGAGCTCCTCTGGAGCTGTGGAGGGCTTTGGGATGCCGGGAGGAACTGGAGGATGAGTTTGGAGGTTGGCAAAGGGATTAGGGGCCGTTAATGATTTTTTTTTTTTTTCCATTTTCAGGAGAAAAATGTTTGGAAAAGGCATGTTCTGTGGAGAACTTGCTGCTCTCTGTATCATTTGAACCCTAAAATCCTGTGTTTTTATGCCTTCCTTCCACTGGTGGTTTAGTTCCTTGAAATGGACTCTCCTTCCTTTTCTATTTCTAGTGCTAATCATGAACAGGAACTTGAAAATAATTCCCTGAGGCATCCCCAAATGGGTGCAAGTGCATCCTGCAGGGGCCAGGATTATCCCAGAGGCACGTGTTGGTCCACAGGTTGGATACAGAACCTGGTAGTTGTGACTGAGAGATGTATTTATTCCTTTCTCATGAATCTCCTCCTTGCTGGGGTCACTCTGATGGTGAACCTGAGAAGAACAACTTTGGGATTTAGAACAAAATAAGAAGCAAATTTCTGTGATATGGGGGTTAAGATACTGAGTTTCCATCACAGAAATAAAACTCTGTTTCCTACTTCTAAAACACCCTTTCAGTGGCATTTTAACAACATAACTGTCCTTTGCATAATCTCATCTTTTAACCCTCTGCATTCCTGGACCCTGAAAGGAACATGATAAAAAATGTGGAAGGCAGGAGGCTTAAGGAATTTTTTTCTGTCCTTAAATCCCCACTATTTTCAAGTAGGATTTTAGATATCTCTGCTCTATTTTAATTTGGTTTAATTACCGTGGATGAGGTAAGAAACTCATTTAAACACGGCAAGTGTGGTGGAGAATCCAATTTTCAGAAATCAGTGGAAATGTAATTGGAGTCATTAAGTGCTGACTTTGGTAATTAAGAGCCGGGTTTTGACGTTTCAGGCTTCTGTTGCTAATTGTCCGTGGAGAGGGTACAAAAATGTTGTGTTTGCCGAGGAATTGGTGGCTCCCTGGACCTTTGGAGCTGCTGGCCACGCTCAGACAGGTGTTGGTAGCGTGGCAAACAGTGCCTCCTCTTTATTTATGTCACAGGGTACAGAGCCAAAGCAATCCCTTTAGGATAATATTCAGGAGAAGGGTTTTTATAAGCAAGAGATAGATGCCCAGCTCCTCAAACGATCTTGCTTCCAAACGTGGATCTTGGGCTGCAGGTCCATCTTGATAAAATCTCTGGATCTCTCTGCAGGCTGAAAGTGCTGAGAAAGTTATGAATAAAAGAAATCAGTGGTAGAAGTGCATCCTCATCACTCCTTGTTTGCAGAGTTATCTTTGGGAAGTCAGGATGTTCTGCATTTTTTAACTCCTGCAGCTCGACCAAGATGCTTTTGTTATGATAATGGAGAAACCATAAAAACTCCTGACATGCTGATAGTTATCATTATATAAAACATGCCTTATGCTTACTTTCCTATTAAAAATTCCAATTTTCCACGGCAATGGCACTTCCAAGGCATTTTTTTCCTTTCATTTTGTTGTTTTCCCAGCACCCAGATGATGCTTTTTGGGCCTCCAGCCTGGGAGCTGAGGTGAAGGGTTTTGTGCTTTTGAGCTTTTACTCCCACAAACAAATGCACCTCTTGCTCTGGGTTTGAGTGTGTAATTATCCTCTGTCTCCTCAGAAGCCAGAGTCCAGCTAGAAAGTTACCTAAAATGTGTTTTTAGCCTGTTGACCGTGCTCATTTCTTAGGTGTGGGAAAACCACGGGCAGCTTAAACACTCGTTTTACCCAGAAATCCCCTTTTTGGGATTGTGGTGATTTTTTTTTTTCCCCAGTGCAAAACTGTGCTTCCCTTCTCCTCCCAGGGGTTCTGACCCTCGAAGGTGGTTTCTCCTAGACTTGTTCATGTTAGTGTTGGATGTGGAGCATCCATCCATGGGATACTCTTTGGATCTGGACACCCTGAGGGAGGGCTCGGAGGAGCAGCCTGGGCCATGTTCAGAAGAAATGATCATGGAATCACAGGATACCTGGAGTTGGAAGGGTCTCTTGAGGATCATTTTGTCCCTCCCCTGGTCCCTTGGCAGCCACGTAGTTTCTGGGTGACACATTCCTCAGAATACCTGGCAGTGGCCGAATGTGGTATGACAGAAGCCAGGGAAGCACCTCAAGTAGCTGGAACAGGTTGGAGTCATCATGCCAAGCTCCTCTGACCAGGCTGGTTAGGAAGGGCTTGTTTCCCTCATTGCCTGGGCTTTCATACAGCCAGAGAGCAGCCCTGGTGCCTGATGATGATTCCAGGCTGGGCTTTCTCTAGAGTGTTGTCCTCGTCTCCCAGACACTGAGCTTGCAGATGGAGATTAGGGGAGTAATGAGGATACGCTCTGCTTTGGGCATAATTTCCTCTCCCCTTCGCTGTTTCCTTTTGTTTTATGTCTTCAGACAGCCCTTGTTGCTGCCTAATTGGATTACTGGGTCACTCACTTGCTGACTGTGGGCTGTGCAGGACTGGGACCGGTCCCTGCGGCTCCGCAGTTCGGGAGCTGATGTGGGCTGGCAGCCCTGCTGAGCCACTGCAGTCCTGGGGGGCCTCGTCCCTCCAAACCCTTCAATGGCTGCAAGAAGGAATGGGATCCATTCCTTCCCTTCACCTGGCTCCTTAGCTTTAGGGAGGGACAGTTCCAAATGTCTTTGTTTTGTAACCTGCGAGTCTTCTGGGGAGCGGGTGGAAACGCAAAGCCTTGAGTGCAGTTTCAGGTGTTTGCCTTTGAACAGCTCTCACTTAAAACGAGGGCTCTGTATCTTAAACAAACCAGCTCCTTGCAGTTTCCATGGTAAGCTCTCCTTCATAATTGAACAGGAGTCATAAACGTTGCATAAACCCCGGGGAAGCTGCTGCTCCGTGGTGTCAGCCCTGTGTTTGCTCTCTGTGCAGCGCAGCTCCCCGGGGAGGCTCCTCGTGTGTCCCACGGCCACCCCACCGCTCCCCTCCAGACCCTTCTGCTGAGGAGAAGCCAACTGGAGGAACTGTGAAGGCCCAAAGTCTGTTGTCAATGGGACTGCACAGAGGGAGAACTCAGACCTTCTGCTTTCCAGGGATCCCCCTGCAGATCGTGCCGTCGGACTCTCCTTCCGGAGCTGCTGCGCTCACCTAGAAGCTGTTAGACCTTTGGAAAACAAGAGACCTCGCCAAGGTGAGTATAAATGACATGCCAGACCATGTTTTTAAGACTCCATTCTTTCATTTTATTTTGTGTTTTCAACCAGCTTTGCTACCTCTGGGACAAGAACTTCTGTGCTGTCCCACCTCTTAGGTTTTATAGTTTAAACTCGTGGGTGTCTGTTGTGGTGCCGTGTGTGTCCCACCACACATTCCCTCTCCCCCCCTTTCTCTGCCTCTTTAAAAAGCACTGCAAAAACTCCTCCAATCCACTAAAAAAGCCCCTCAGAAAGCCCCAGGTGCAGAGCAGACCTCAGGGATGCCGTGCTCTGAGTTTGTCCCTGCCAGGAGCACAGCACCTCCAGGCAGGTGATGCCGAGGCGTGCCCTGTGTCCGCTTCCCTTTCCCGCTGGTCTGGAAGCGTGTCCAGGGGGTGTTATGGTACCTTGGAAGGACTGCTGGTGGGGAGATGACTCGTGGGTGTTGTTTTGCCGCTTCTCCTCGCTCGTGGCACCGTGGAGTTCCAGGCAGGGGCTGCTCCTCCATCCTGTGCTCTCGCACTTCCCGCTCACCGCGCAGATGGAGTGTGAGGCTTCCCGGTGCTCTGTGGCAGCAGCACCAGCAAGAGCAGAGTGACAGACTGATCCCTGGGTTTCCCTCCTTTCCCTCCTCCCCCAGAGCCAGCGGGAGGAAGGTTTTTTTGTTCTTTTCTTTGTCTGAGTTCGTGTGGTGCAGCGTGTTGGCAACGCGCCCACGGCCTGCGTGGGGAGGGGACAGGAGGGGGGTCAGGGGAGGCCACAGCAGAGTCATCATCGTGATTATTCACAGAATTCCAGAGTTGTTTAGGTTGGGAAAGACCACTGAGATTGAGTCCAACCTGTGCCCGATCCCCACCTTGTCCCCCGGTCCAGAGCACTGAGTGCCACGGCCAGTGTTGGCCCCATCCATCCTGTGGCCCTGGTGGTCTCTCTTTGGGTCTCCATGACTTTTCCAACCTGGCCTTAGACACTTCCAGGGATGGGGCAGCCTCAGCTTCTCTGGGCAACCTGTGCCAGGGCCTCACCACCCTCACAGGGAAGAATTTTTTTCCCAATATCCAATCTAAACCTCCTCTCTGGCAGTCTGAAGCCATTCCCCCTTTTCCTGTCACTCCAGGCCCTTGGAAATAGTCTCTCCACGTTTCTTGTGGGCTCCCTTCAGGTACTGGAGGCTGCAATTAGGTCACCCCGAAGCCTTTTCTTCTTCACGCCGAACAATCCCAATTCTCTCAGCCTTGTGAAGGATTTAGGAAAAAGAAAAAACCCAAACCAGAGGAATTTTCCCTTTAACAATGCCTTGTTGCACAGAGGCAGGATTTCTTGCCCTCTGGCATTCTCATGTCAGGAGGGCTCTGAGTGGCAGAGGTCGGGATTTGGGGAGGGGGCTGTGGGTCCGGGCTGACCCCGCAGTGTGACCCGTGGAGTGCAATCCCTACAAAGCGGGGCTGTTCCCAGGGGGATGTGACCGCCGTGTCCTGATTAAAACGTTGCAGAGAGAGGGGGGGGATAAGGAGGAAACTAAGCCCGTTTCCCATCTTTTAGATTTTTAGGAGACACTTAAGGGAGCGCAGTTGGATGAGTAAGGGCAAAGGCAGATTGCAGAAAGCACTTACTGGGCTTGTCTGGGGATTTGAGCCGTGCAGTTCGTGGTGCAAAAGCCGGGCTTTTCTGTAGGAAACGGCAATAAAAGCCGACAAGCCTAAAGACCCAGATTAATTTAGAAACTCCGCAGCTCAGGGGAGGGAGGGTTGAAACAGAAGTGCAGCGGCTCAGACTGACCTTTCCATCAACTCCACGGCTCTCCCGAAGATGTTTGCGGTGTCTGAAGCTGGGGGTCGATCTGTGGGGGTTCCCTGGGTGGTGTGTGGGGAAGCTGGGGTTCCTCCTTGCTTACCAAATGGCTCTGGCCCTCCAGGAGCGTGGGGTGACGCTGTCCAGCAGTCTGTCCAGCGGTATGTCGTGACGGTGCTGCCAAAAAATCTGTCCCTAAAGTGCCGGGCATGGTTTTCAGCGTGGAGCAGCTCCTCTGTGCAGCTTAGAGGAGCTGGATCCCTGTTTCTGTGTGCTGCCTGACACCAGGCCAGCGGGTGTTCTGCAGGATCTAATTATCCTGGCGACCCAAGGCACAAAAGAAAGAGGCCTGTTCACTTCGGGCTGTGTTGCTTCCCTCTTTCCGTGTCCCCTCCCGTCCTCTCGTGAAGCTGCACAGTGAAAGATGATACCAGAATGATACCAGAATTCCTCTTTCTCAGGCTGCTACAGGCAGTCGTTTCCATGATCTTTGTTTACATAGATCCAAGTCGGATTAAAGTGCCTTTTAAACTCGGAGGACTTGTCAGGAGGTGAGAGACTGTCTTCCCAGCTTCGGTCTTTTCTGTACAGGTGTGTCGTCGTGTGACCAAAGTCTATCCTGAAGTTGTTTAAAAAAAGCCCTTGCACTGTGATGCTTGGAGATGTTCGTGTACAAATGTCACATGGGCGTACATCCCGTAGTTTATAACGGCATCTTAGCAGCTTAGGAAGTGATTAGTTCACTTCTGTGCCGGTGTTTTCGCCTGTGTAGAGTGGGAGTTCTTACTGACACGTGCTGAAGTCTTTTCTCCTGCCCTTCAGGGGTTTAAATAAAAAACCACTCTCTTTAGGAGCATGTCAGAGTTTTGAAAAGCTGTTTGGTTTCCTAGGAGCACGTGCACATACGTTTCTCTCTTTAGGTTCTTAGGTTTCAGTGGTATTTAAGCCCCGTTTTTTCAGAACTGAGCGATTCAGAAGCATATCTAGGTCCGGTGGCTCCGAATTTCACCGAGTTTGCGGCCTCTGCAGTGGTTAAATCTCTTCATCGTTCTTTTGAACCTTTTTATTTCAGCAGTCAGAATGGGGGGGGGAAGAGCTGTAAATGAGTTGTAATGCCAGGCTGAGCTGGGAGTGCTGCAGTTTGACTAAGCCTTAGCAGGCACTGCTCATTTCACTGTGAGGCCTAAGTGAGATTACTGTCTGAGTCTCCCCTCAGCAGTTTAAATCCTTACCAAATATTCTCTGCTCTTGTGCGTTTGAGTTTCCCTCCTTCACTGTCCGTGGAGAAAAGGGAACACAGCTTAACCCCCACACGGCTTTGTTCCTCTCTTTGCAGCCTTTGCCCCGTTGACTTTCCAAGGACGTTTTTTGAGCTGAAAGCTCAAAAAACGTCCTTGGAAAGTCAACGGGGCAAAGGCTGGAAGCTCAAAAAAATAGATAGAAATGAGTAGAAAAACTGTCACGGTCTTCTGTAAACGACATAAGACCATCCAGATGTGTTGATGTAAACGAAGGCTCCACTAATTCTGAAAAGGAGAAGCTCTCCATGCCTACCCAGCTCCTAGAAATCTGATCCATCAGTTGTTTGTGGTGGTTTTTTTTTTTTCTCATCTGGAACGATTCCCTCGTTTTGCAGGAGGCTTGGTGTGCGATTTGAGGGCCAGCTGCTTCGTTGCTGCCTGCCTCACTGACTCCCTTGTGCGAAGGGCAAGGAATACTGATCCAAGGGAGCTGTGTGAACCGATGCTCTGGTCCAGGGGTGGTGTGCTCCGTGTCAGGTGTGTTTTGGATGTGGTTAATCCTGCCCGGGGAGGCAGCAGGATGCCTTGTGAACAACCTTTGGAAGTTTCTTCCAAGCTGGCCTGGGCTCTGTTGGCTCCATGTGGGAGTTCAGCGAGTCCTGGTGGAAGCTGTAGCTGTTATTTCTCCACAGCCTGGCATTTCATTTGGTTTCTCACGTTACCCAGCTTAGTCATCTCTTCAGAAATCTCCACTTCTTCCTCCCCTCCCGGCGCGCAGACCAGATCCTGCTTGGTGGATGGTGCAGTGGTTTGCCCTAGCAACCAGGCAGATCTCCCAAAATAGCTCCTTCCATGGCTGCAGAGCCTCTCTGAACCTCAGGATGTGGACTGCAGTGTCTTGTTTTTGCCTCTAATGGTCGGACAGAAATAACCAGGGCCGTGAGTGGACTTGACTGTGTGCACAGAGCGAGGCTCTTTGGGGCACGAGGGGAAATTCCTGCGGTGTTTTGTGTGCTGAGGGAAAATGCCTTTGGAGTCCAAACCATTCCTTCCGTGTGCCCACGTGTATGATGTTGTTTATGGCCTGTTCCCTCCTCAGGGAGCACCTGAGCTGGGAAGGCTCCTGGTGCCAGCCCTGAAATTCCCTGCTGGAGTGGCTGCTCTCGGCCCCTTTGGCACCACAAGTCCTTCCCGAGGAGTGGGATGGCCACTCCATGAGGTCTCCCCTTCCTGGGAACATGGCTGTGCAAGTTCCTGCTGCTATTTGTTTTTTGGGATAGTCAGAGCAGGAAATATTTTAAGACACTTTTGCAGTGGGGTCATTTTCTTTTCCCCGCCTCTCCAGCCTAAGAAAATTCCTGTGTTTGGGATATCTTTGCATTACCATAGCATTGCAGGAGCATGAGATTTATAGAGATGTGTTCAGCTGCTGCTCATCTTCTGCTGTGGTGATGCTTTTTGCAATGATTATCTTTCCCTTGCTTTAGGAGGGTGTTCTGCAGTCTGGCGTGTTGTTACAGTCACCTTTCCTGCTTACCAGCTTCAGTTCTCCTCCAGATCCTTTCCTCCAGCCATCTCCTTTTTTTGCTATATTTAAAACAATGCTTTACAACTCATAACTTCTAAAAATCCCGTCCCAAACCCCAGAAGGGAATTAAAACAGTGGCAGGTAGTTCGGTTTTGTTGTGTGATGACACGCAAGATGTAGGTTTTCGAGGGCCAGAAGTTATGTAGACTGTTGGTATAAGAGGACAGCTCAGATTAAACTGGGGGGGGGCGGGGACAGACATTGATTTGCTTGTATGTGGGAGAGAAGAGACCATCAGCTGCAATATTTACACTCAATCACCCAGGGAGGGTTCTGTCGTTATTTGCGTTCTCTGGAGCATTCTGTATTCTCCAGCACGCTCTTGCCATGTGTGTTTGGTTGCCAGAAGTTTATATACATTTTCTGCTTTTCATTC